TATTAATTAATTTAGCACTGATGGGAAACATATTTCTGCAAAGTAAATCCTTTGATTTTTGATACTTTATGTGCAATTTTACAGTAATACAGTTTCATGTGAAGTATTCTTTTGCTACTTTTGCTAAAGCAGCCGTTTTAAAAGTCCTTCACTCCTCATTACCAGCTAGTGCTTAATAGTTAGATAACTACAGTAGTAATAAAATATTAAAATTCTATAGCCAGGATGAGGGCAGAAAGAGGCTGTCACAGCAGTATGTTTTGTAACTTCGGACGTTCCCACAGCAACGATATGAAGCTCCAGTATTAGATAAATATTATTTCCAACTATGGATCATGCACAGCTAGTTGAGTAGGTCCATGAATACAAATCCACAGCTGGAAAATGGCAGAGTAGGTCATATTTTTATCTATTTTATCGGTGCAGCTCTACCTGACACACCAGTCTGTGGTGCTGAGAGAATCACTTTAGGTCTCAGCTAGAGCCTGACTGTTTTATCAGCAGGTCAGTATAACCAGCTGATATTAGCTACTTGCCTATCTATTAGCATCGGCATTAACAGCGGCCAATAAATGACACATGGGAAAAACACCTCATAACCATGCCATGATGTTACAGAGTTTCTTCACCAGAGGGCACTCTGATTCTTCCCTCTTGGCAACACACCACAAACACAACAACCAGCTTATCCAGAGTCATGTAGAGCACAAAAGAATAAATAAGTGACGACATAAATGTAAAAGAAATCTATTTATGTTTAGACAACAAACAGATAATATCTGATTTTTAAAATACCAAACATGACTATCAGTTTTAAAGATCCTGTATAGGCCAGGCTCTAGCCTGAACCTTTATTATTTTACCCTGCACATAGATCACGCCACAGACTCAATAAAGTTATGATATAAAAATGTGTGAAAGCTTTTCTTAGAGTAAATAAACTAAGCTGCTAAGTCATATGAATTCATAGCACTATGGGAGGTTATAGGGATTTCACTTCTGCTGTGTCTGTGTGTATAAAGGCACAATCTGGCAGGAGAGGGTGAGAGGTTTTTAATCTATTGGGCCTATGACTAAGCCTTCTGCTATTTGCTACGTGTTTGCTGCAGGCCACACCTACCTGCCTGCGGCTACAGGTGAGGCAGTTTTGTCAACCTTTCCACTCAGAGGCATCATAATTCTGTTTACTGATTAAACACTAGTCCTCAAGAGTCCTCAAGAGTAGCCACTCGCCATGGTCTATCAATTCTATTATCTTCTTTTCTTATAAAATCAAATTACACCATCAGGAGATATTTTTTTAAGACTACATGAAAAACAAAGAGAAACTCAGCCCTCTCCCCGGGGCAAACATTTACTGACAGTGAGGAGGGAAAAAAAAGTTTTACAAGAAGAAACCTCCTCAGGTAGCTTCCATACTAGTGTTTATTTGGTTAACTACTGTTTGACAAGACGCAGTAGGAGAAGCTTCTTTTGACATTAATCTTTTAATGTATCTCTGAGTGCAATGAGGCTACTGCACAAATCATTCCCGACTAAATCAACTCAACAATACTGTATGCTGTGCAAAATCACTGTTTAAAACATGGATTTTGCAAAATCTGCACTTGCACACAAACATTCACTTTTGAAATCGTTCTGGCACATACCTCTGGAAGCAGTAGCAGGACAGAATGACGGAGACAGAAAGAATAATTGGGACGACGATGGCGATCACAGTCAGCATCTCATCTGGAGACCTATTCTCCCCTGGAGTGAACAAGAGAGACTTCCTGGTAAAGCTTTTAGGAGATTTTCAACCTTTTTGCACATTGTGTTGCACATAATATTGCGTATCACAGTGGTTTGCTAGTGTCTAATTTCTAATTGATGATCCCAATTCAGTGCTCCAAAGTTTACGAATAATAAGTTGAAGAAATGTGCCATTAGACATGATGGAGAACAGCTAAAAAGCAAGGCTGTATAGAGCTTTCACTAACTAACAGATAGCTCAACCACCCATCACATGAATGCTGGAATTTTCTGCTTTTAGCCGTGTTCCTGTTGTACAACATAGCTCGAATAAGTGAGCCAGCACCTGCAAAACTCTTTTTTTTGTGTAGCACGGTGCACTGCAACATCAGACACAGGCAGATTGTGTGTTAGATTAATGTGAAACCTTAAAATATACTGTTTAGGATACGACAGTGTTGCTTTGATTCCTTGTTGTCCAAGTGACTGGGAGTCATTTTCTTGTAAATTAAAAAGAACAAAGTTCCTGATGATGATGAGTCATTATTAAAATGACCCGACTTCACCCACCCACAGAACTTTATACACTAATTGGTGCATTTCCGATTGCAGCCTCACGCTGATTTGGCCTACATTACAATATCTGCACCAACATGTAGTTTGACACAAAATTTATAGATGAAGTGAATCAATATGCTGTCAGTGATGTGATTAGCACATGATAAAAACACGAACATACAACTCTGTGTGCACATCATGGGATCTCATGATAATGTAGATATAATTATTTAAATATACTCGTAGTAATAATTAGTAATACTGGTTAGACAGTTACCGTGAGTTATGACTTCACTGAGGTCACTGGACAAAGGGATGCAGTATTGATCAGTCTGCACACTGTATTGGAATTTGTATTGGCAGTTTTTGTTATAGGGGATTTCCAGACTTGGCCCTTTAGTGTGGAGAGTCTGAAAAATAAGAAGCACACAAAACCAATGTTGCACTTCGTCAGTATGGAACAACTGTAGCATTGACATAACATCTGGATTTAAGACAGACAAATGTGAAAATATTTGTTTTTTCTGATATTTGATAGAAATGTTCAGCTATGAGATTATTCCAATGTCTCATAAAACACTTAAGCAGAACGTCACAATGTGAGAACTTACTCTGACGTTATTGCACTCGGTGATGCAGACACTATAGTTTAATCCACATTTTCCAACAGCCGGACCTCGATGTTCCCATGTCAGGTAGAGATTGCCTTTATCTTCTGCGATGTTCATCTTTGGTAAAGGTATCACTGAGGAGATAACAAAACACTTGTTAAAAAAAAAAAAATGTTAACATTTCATATTCATTTTCACAGTTTGGAACGACATTAACAATAAAAAATTAAAAATAACACCAACCAAATTTAGGTTTGAGGGTGTTGCGTCCAGTTTCAGTCTCCACGAGCACATAGATGTCAACTTTAAGATTATTCACATTTAGATAACAAACATCCTTTTCATGGCCGGTGGACCCATCACATGCTCTGATTTTATCGTGTTCCTCTGAAGTCCTGTAATGACAGAATGAGGAGTAAACAAGAGAAGTGGAAAAACATAAAAAGCTTTTTCACTTCAGCCAGTGACTCAGATTATGGCTCATGTAATTCCTTCAAAGTTCCCAGATTAATATTCAGATGGAATGTTAAATAATTCAAATCGGCACAAGACTCTGATGAAGCCACAAGCAGGTTTTAACAAAATACTGCTGTCCAATATTTGTCACTCTGTAACATCCATACACAGAGTACTGCTACAGAAATGTATTGCAGTAGTTCATTTTCACAGAACCCCCGACTAATGATGTGCTGATTCATGGCACTAATCCTATATTTTTTCTTTAAAATGGTAAATGGCCTGCATTTGTATAGCGCTTTACTCAGTCCCTAAGGACCCCAAAGCGCTTTACACCACATTCAGTCATTCACCCATTCACACACTGGTGATGGCAAGCTACATTGTAGCCATAGCTGCCCTGGGGCGCACTGACAGAGGCGAGGCTGCCGGACACTGGCTGTATCCCAATTCAGGGTCTGCAGCCTTAAAGGCCGCATTTTAAGGCCGATTACGTCACAGCGACGTGACGAAGGCTGTCCCAATTCGAAGGCTGCTCGAAATGCGGCCCTCAAATGCGTCCTTAATTTCCCTGAATTTTAACAAACACTTGAACAAAAGATGTTCTCCTTCATTTCTGTCAAACAAAGCTGTATGAAACATTTCTAGCTGTTAGTATCATGGTTGCTAGGCAACCTGGGCAGCGCAACGGAGGCTAGACCGTCCCATTTCACAAGCCTCTCACTTCCGACCTTAGCGGTCTTTAATTACGCGGCCCTTGAGGATCGTTGAGACTGCGTACTTTAAGGCTGCAGACCCTGAATTGGGATACAGCCACTGACGCCACCGGGCCACCAGTAGGCAAACATGGGTTAGTATCTTGCCAAGGATATTTGGCATGCAGCCAGGAGGCAGCCTGGGATCGAATCACCAACCTTCTGATTAGTGGCTGACCTGCTCTGCCACCTGAGCTACAGCCACCCCAAATTAGATACAATTTCACTCCGCACAGAAACTGCGTTACATTTCTTTTGTTGTTTGCAGCTTTTATGCTCACCTGTAGCTGATGTTCAGCTTGACTGACTCATTGACTGGTTTCCAGAAACACTTTGTTCTCTCAGACTCAAGTGAACATCTGAAGTCCGTCACCAATTCAGCTGTAAGTACAAAAAAAGAATTAAGTCACACACATAGATATATATTAAAAAAAGACTTAAGTTCTTATATATCAGCATTTCAGCTTTCTGGTACTTACTGCGGCGCTTTGAAGTTTTAATGGTTTTGTTCACAGGTCTGCTTTTCTTCCTACACACAGGATCTACAGCTTGAATGCTGATATTCCAGTGATCAGAGTGCTTATCTTCTGTGAAGTACTTCACTGTGAAATTATTAACTAGGCTTAGGAAATTCTGCTGGGAAAAAAAAAAAAATATATATATATATTTAGTGAAATTTAAATAATTCTTAGTTCTCCAGCACACTGTCTGATATCCACTTTAAGGGCACTTTATTTTCATAAATAGAAAACATATTTTTAGATAAATGCCGTTTTTTTGTTTTTAACTTAACTTTAGGGTTATTTACAGCGCTGTATTGTTCAATATAAATTATGTTTTATTTATTTATTTATTTATTTATTGTAACTTATCAGGTCAATAAATTCACCATTGTGAAAAACTATAAATTGATTAATATTTTGTTTGTTTTCATATTGTCAATAAACATGTTTGGACTAATTTGCCATACGTTTGATGATAGTAGGTCTATGGTACATGAAAAAAATGGCAGATAGGTCAAGTGGATATTCTTTATAGATTTGAAAACTGTCATTACATATGGAAAAAACTGTTATTAATAAGAACTAATACCAAATACATTTGTAGATCTTCTTTTCTTTGGCTGCTTCCATTAGAGTCTACCACACCAGATCATGCACCTGGATCTCACCCTATTTCTAGCACCCTCCTCTTTCTAACCAACTCTCTGCATCTCCTCAACGGACCTGCTCTGAGGTCCTCCTCTTTTCCTCCTGTCTGGGAGCACCATGTTCAGCATCCTTTGTCCAGGATTTTGGTAATGACCGTTTTTAAGAGCCGAGTGTAAATGAATGAGGGAATAAAAAAATGCACACGGCCGTTTCACAAAACGCTACCATTAAAGTGGCGCTCAAACCTGTTACAGGAGGTGTGACACTGTTGAGAAACACACTGACCAGACTGAGGTACTAAATCCTGAGCTTCCCATAATCCAACTCACTACCTTTATTTCAAAGCCCACTATTATAACTGAGTAAAATGAACTTTATTTTTAAAATTAATTATGTTTCTCTTTAGGTTAAAACTTTGTTTCACCAATCTAATGTCAGCCTGTCTCACTGCTGGCTTTCAGTTCCATATTACCTCATCTGACTGCGGTAGTCCATATCTGATTACTTCATATTTGACTGTACAGTTTTTCGGGTGATTGTCTGGCTTCTTCCAGGACCAGGACACGTTCACTTGAAATTGGTCATCCCACCTATATGTCACATCTGTTGGTTCGGGAAGTTGATAATCTGCAGGTATAAGAAGAGCCGTTACTCCCAGCTTTGCATAAATGATCAATGCTGTTCAGAAACGATCGCGGTGAGCTACCACCGAAGCCAGAAATGACATTTCCCACAAACTCTTTCACAACACTCGCTGCTGTCTGCAATCAGTTCCTTGTGCCACTCATTGTGACACTGCTGTGTTTTGTAATACCTCGGACTGAAGCTGAAGATTGTAAAGCTGTAACTGTTGTCATCATTATACATCATTATATATATCATTTTTTGTGCTTCTGTTATGCATTAATGGTAGTTGATTGGCAGTAATTTGGCAAAGTCATCTCCAAAAACAGATGATCAGATTTATTACCAGCAAACTCACGGAAAATGTCATTGCACCTAGGAATACCTAGGAAAAATGAAATCATTTAATTGCGCCAAATCAGGGAAATATCCAGCATGAAAATCACCTGACTGTACATGAACTGAAGAACATTCCTCACATTCCCCCTCCACCTCTGTTTTTACTATTAGATTGGTTGGAAATGCTCTTGAATCATATGCAAAATGTCTTTGGCACCACCCACACATGGAGTGTTAGGGTGTAGTAAAATGCGCTGATATCCACACTGGGCATGGAAAAGGACAGCAGTGATTCCTAGTATTTTTTTAAACACATAATTAGAAATATGAAAGTGTCATTTTAAATTCATTTGTCATAAAAATGAATGCATCTTTAGATTTATCTTACAATCATACAATAAAGTGCAGCCGCTCGGCGTTGAAAATGTGACGCTGACGTTTTCTTCGGATTACAGTATATGTGCACAGGCTTTTTATGCAAAGTGACACAACATAATGGGGGACATCATATCTTAGACACATATCGTGGAATCAAAAATAATGGAGGAGATGAATTAATTTAAATTCTATGAGACATCCTTTTAAAATTTGCCTCTGTCATTGTTACACTTTCACTTGCGCAGGTTCCCCCGCAACTTGGTCGCTGGTTGCGCTGCGCACCTGTACAGTGAAAGACAGCCTCTTTAAGCGCAAACTAACCGTTAAGGTGCACTTGGTAAAATCGAATAAGAAATATACTCTCAATTTATACTCAAACAGAAAGACATCAGCGAATGTGTTCCAAAGAGCTCCCTGAATTAGCCAGACCCTTGGAGATAACTACCCTAACACACACATTTTGTTACTGGGAATTAGAATTAACAACGCAAAACCACCGAGGTCAAGTTTAATGTGCTTTCCAATTCGTTTATTCATAGCAATAATTCATTACATGCCAATAATAATAACAATAATAATAATAGTAATAATACCACTTAATGTAATAGGGTCAAGACCCTTAAAGTAACACTTCACCAAGTGCTATTAGTGCAGCGGAAAGGAAAAGCTCCTTGAAGAGGAAGAAACCTCAGGGTGGGATTCCCGGATAAGGTGAGAGGAAAGCGGAGACAGAAATAACTATAAATAAATAAAAATAAAAATACACACTTACATTTAAAATTAAAATATTATCTGACTTATGCGTTAATTTATTATTTTTTACAAGAGCAAAAACACACAAACTACAACCACAAAAGTGCTTTAATTTAATTGGCTAATAAATAGCAAGTTGTTAGAGAGCTCGAGACGCTCGGTTAACGAATAACGCGCGTGCGTCTAAAACATGCTAATTAAAGTCTGGTTTGACGGGCTGGGTACGCTCACTGACAGGTTCCCTTTAACCGAACAATTTTTAGATGTAGACTATTGTTAAAACTGGGATAACAACTAATGAGTGTTTTACCTGCGTTACAGTTGAACGTCATGGTGGTGGCGCAGAGAAAGATGAAAAACTGCTGAGCGACAGTCATGTTGCCTCCAAGCGTCCGGACTTTATTCCTGGAAGCGTTTCAGGAGCTCGTTTGATTCCCTCTAGGAATCCAAGTAGAAAATAAATGTATATATATCTATGTAAAGGGAAAAAAATACCGGCGACAGACTGTCTAGGTTAAAAGAAAAAAATGTTTTTTTCTAAAAAGTGAATGGAAACGAGAAAACGAAGCCAAAACTCCAGCTACACCTTAACTGTCTCCGTGCCTACTGAACCTTACCGGGAAGGTCGGGGCGGAGTTGTTTCGAGTGGGAGGAAACTGTAATGACAACGAAGCTACGACATTTCACGGAGTGAAAATGAGTAAGCAGCCTCGGTTACCAAACGCTGTTGGAAACGGGAATCCAGCGTCCATACAACAAATCGTTTTGGGGAATAAAGGAAGCTGCTCCCGTCGCTCTCTTAATGGGGGCAACATTACGCATGCGTGTGATCTTAAGTGCGATATATCAAACCGCAAGTGTCCATCCATTCCTCCAGGAAGTCGTCAGGCCCTAAATGAGTCTGTGAATCATTAAGCTTATTATCTATGTAGTAATGGCTTTATTCTGCAACCAACAATATAGAATGGGCCAAACTGATAACACGGGTGCAGGAAAGGCCAAGAAAAACATAGATAGTTGTGTTAGACTTCAGATTTATTCGGTTATGGGTCAAGCTCAAAGCCTCCGTGGATGATATTAGACTAACTTAATGCTACAGTATGCATTGCGGTTGTAAAGAAAACACTTTGCTGAAAACCTTTTGGTGGATTTCGCCTGTTTCAACATGCGGAAAGCAGCCGGTGGTTGAAAGGGGAACAAGCAAACCCCAGCGAGGGTTTCCAAAGAGCGCAAGAAGTCTGAAAAACCAAAACCTCCGAGCGAGCTGCTGCTGCGACACTTCATGTGTGGTGTGAGACATGTGATAGTATAATCCAGCCATAAACCCTGTTTCTCTTTAGGACAAGCAGAATCGAGTGTGCAAACAAAAGCCATACATTCTTTTTGTTTGTCTAAAACTTCGGGGCGCTGTACGTGCAGTTGTGAATAATTTCATCATCTACGTCTTCATGGATTTGGAAAGTTTTATCATGATTGTCTCATGTAGGATTTGATCCAGGCCTCATTTCATGATGGCTCAAGTGTTTTGAACAAGGAGGCTTGCTGACAGGCAGTGTCACACCTAACAACTTTTGTTTTTTTAACTTATGAAGCGAGGCTGGTATATATGAGGAATGTAGTTTGGTACTGTCTTGGTGAAATATGTTTTCTCTTAAAAAATGTTGCTGACATTAAATGAGCAAAAAGCAAATTTCTAATTTCATCATTTGATTCAGTTACTGACAATTTTTTTTTTTTAAGGCCTTTTAAATAATATCCAGATAATTGGGTTTTGCTTGTACCTACACTGGACACAGCCTGTATACGCTCCTCCTGTGCTTTCCCAGCTGTGATGGAAATGAAAATGTTTTGGGAGATTGTTTATGTTGGCTTTAAAAGGCCAGTGTGGCGACCTCAGCCACATCTGC